CTCGTCAATAGTCACCACCGCCTCCTCGAAGCACGCGGACTGGCTCAAGTCCCTCGGCGCGACGCACATCATCGACCGCGCGCTCTCCGAAGTCGACACGCTCGCTGAGCTTGCAAAGCTCACGGCCGACACCCCTGTCACGCTCGCGTTCGAGTGTGTCGAGGGCAGCGTTACCGAGCGCCTCGCGTACCAAGGTCTCGGCCTCGGCGGGGGGCTGGTCTGCGTGAACCCGATGCTGAACCCGGCGGAGACGTTCGCCGAAGTCAAGAAAGACGGGGACGGGAAGAAGGTCGTGAAGGTGTTCGCGGAGCTCAAGCTCGTGCAGGAGAACGTCACCGTTGGTGTAGAGGCGTACAAGCATGTCTCGGCGTGGCTCGCGGACGGCTTGCTCGTGCCGTGCCGGGTGGAGGTGTTGCCAAGGGGGCTGTTGGGGATCCCGGAGGGGTTGGAGAGATTGGCTAGGGGCGTGGTGAGCGGCGTGAAGCTGGTCGCTCGCATCGCTGAGACGTTGTGAACGAGTCTTCATGCGCTGGAACGCGAAATTGGACATAATCGGAGTTAAACACTAGTAATATATGAAATCGGTTTGTCATGGGTCGATGGCGTAGTTGGTTATCGCATCTGTCTAACACACAGAAGGTCCTCAGTTCGAGCCTGGGTCGACTCATCGTCACATCTTCTAAGACGTTTTTTGTGTCCTTGTGACTTTGGTAAGAAAGTAACAGGATTTTGGATCCCAGATGTCTTTTGTGTGGTTCATTGATTGTGACCACTGTCGGAGTTCGGCGCCAGAGGTGCAACCTCGGGCCGCTGGCTTAGGTAATTGTGTAGCCATAGTGCTCGCCGCAGCCTGTACCGTACGCTACGCACCAGAGGAGCCTGCTCACTCTTGAATACTGCTACAGAACATACTTCTAGACGCGCTCCACGCTCTTCCCCTCACCCACTTTTCACTGAGTCACGCTCCACCACCATGGCGGAAGCGAACAAAAGGCGCACCGACGAGGTGCGTCGGGTCGACACTCTCCGCGCAGTACTCCCAGATGCACTTCCCCCCCGCCGCACGTGCGAGTGTTCTCGCTTCTTGGGTGCAAGGCGATTCTGAATTTTACGGATCTACGGAGCGGGCAGTCGGAACCATTCTGGGAGGACGTGAAACCGGATTTCGACACAGCGATCCAGGCGCAGGACGCGGTCGACAAAGAGTGCCAGGGAGAGACGAGTCCCCAGGGTGACGAGCTTCTGCGTGAACTGAGGCGACGAGCGTGCAAGACCGCGGGGATTCGGAACGAGCGGTGGTGGTGGGTCGAGAGAGAGAGCGAAGAGAGACGGGCGATCGAGATTTGGAAGGAGAAGGGAGAGTGGGCGCGCGATGTGATCGAGAGCGTGGACTTTCAACAGGGCGATCTGACTGGTGAGTGTCTCTCCTGCAAAGTGTATTGAGGATGATCTCACACCTACTTCCAGGAATGTTCTCCAATAGCTGGCGGTACTATGGCATCATCGTACAATAGATCGTAACTCGTTCGGGCCGCGTACCCTCCGAAACGCTCAACTGTTACAGCTCTGTCGTAACTCCAATTCCTTTTCCTCAGAACTACAGGTGTCGGGACCAAAAAGTCTCCACAGCTCAGTTCGCCGAGTGGACGGTGGCGCCGCAAACCCCAACGTATCCAACTCGAGCATCCGGCTGTTCAACATCTGCGTCATCATCGCCGCGCACGTCCCGAACTCTGGCATGTTCTCCGGCTGGCCAAGCCGCCTCACTCCACGGTGCGTCGACGGCTGCACCATGACGAGGTTCTGGAGGTTCGGGAAAGCGCGGATCAGAGTGCGGGTGTGTATTCCGGTGATCAGCACTTCCTGAATTTGGAGGTCGGTGAGGAGGGGATAGACCTCGTTGAAGGTGTGGTCGCCATTTGACTGCTGGAAGCTCACATTGGTGGCGGTCAAGTCCACCAACGGCGATTGGAATTTATTTGCCTCGTCAACAGAGATCTCCGCAGTGAGGCGGATGTTTGGGGTCGGATCCCACCGCAGGTCGGCGACTTTGACCTTGGACTTGGAGTCGCACAAGAACCACACCAATTGCAAGTGGGGGTGTCGAAGCGCCCCAAGCTCCATTCGTTGTACATACAACTCATCGACACACAGCCAATCCAACCCGTAGTAAGTAGTCCTTGTCCGTCGAGGTGGCATGAGCCACTCGTCGACTGTATCTCTGACCGTCTCCTTCAATTCTCCCACCTCGAAGTTACAAGCGCAGGTGCCAAAGCGCCCCGAGATTCATTCGTTGTATATACAAGCTCATCGGCGCACGGCTAATTCAGTCCGCAGTAAAGCCCGTCCGTCAAACCGCCGTGCGGGCGAACCTAAACGCCCGCCTGCGCCCAGCCGCGGCCGTGCCGCTCGAGGACTGTTGGACGACGACGCAGTTGCCGAACCCGCTCAAGGTCCTGAACGAGACGATGCACTTGCCGCCCGTGCCGGCGCACGTCATGCCCGCAGGGAGCTGGACGGAGATTTGCTCCGTGCCCAAAGTCGGCGGCGCCTGAGAGAGAGAGTGGTGGGCGGGCGGGGAGGCCGGGAGCGGGAAAATCGTCAGCGAGGCGCGCGCGTTAGAGAAGGGACTCGACGGGCTGACCGCGGAGCCGTTCTCGACCATCGTCGCGGCGACGAAGCTGTTCTTGTCGCCCGTGCCGGTCGGGTCGACCATGACCTTCGCGATCTCGCGGGAGCCGTCGACCCCCCTGCAGAGGCGGGACGGATCGTATCAGCCCCGCAAAGACGGGCGGGATAGAGAGTGTGTGAGAGAGCGACGCACTTGTTGAAGTTGGTGATCGGGGCCGAGAAGGTGCCGTCCGCGGCGACCTGGATGGTGTCCGAGGACGCCATCCCCGAGGCGATGTCCACTCGCCCGCACGGCTTCTGGTTCGAGGGGCGCTGCACGTCTGAGCGCACGGGCGTGCCGCTCACGCCGAGCACGGGCGAAACGGCGGCGTGCGCGTGGGCCTGGAGGGCGGCGCCGAGGACGGCGGTGAAGGCAAGGAAAGTCTTGAAGAAAAGCATGGTGGCGGGGGCGAAAGTGGTGAGGTGCGAAAGGCTTGGAGTGAAGATGGTACGGTGGGATGAGGATCCGGCCTCGGGATGTGCTAGATGAAGAAGATGGGAGCGGAGGAGGTGAGCAAGCTGAGGTTTGACGGAGGGCAAGAGGGGGCTTTATACATGACCGAGAGCGGGCTCATCCCAGGCTCAGGACTCAGCAAGCCGCCACGGCCCGCACGCGGCAAAGCGCGGTCAAAGCGAGTGGGTCGGAACGAGCGATGGTATTGGCCGAGGGGCAGTGGAACGCGGAATACAATTGCTCACCGTCTGTACCGCGCTTCCTGTGGTCCGCTTTGCGACGGGAACCGGGGGCCGTATCCTGGAAACCATGCTGCAGCGGGGAAGACTTGCCGGGGTTCTCAAGTCTCCCGAGTACCCCAGCATCCATGGAGTTCCAGATCGACGGGGTGCGGAATGGCTCTCCAGGCGTCGTTACGACTCGTCAGGCAAAGGCTGTCGAGGCCTTCGACGGGATGCGGAATCGCTCCTCAAAGCGTTGTTACGGCTCGTCTGGCAGATGCTCATTCGGCGAACAGTGACGGCGCGGGAGAATCTGCGCTTCCACGCCGAGCGCTCCGCCACTCCGTTCAGAACTGCGCACACATTCATCGCCATGCAGGCCATGACAGCAGTGAGGCATATTCAGAACATCACCGACGCGGAAAGCGGTGAAGCGTTCTTAAATTGCCGATATACCACTCCACATCACGGAGTGGGTGACTGCATCGCCGAACAGGCAAATGGGCGTGGACGTCGACCCAACGCAGAACATCTCCCTCACACTATCAGACCCCTCCATCCCCAACCGCACAGGACAGACTACACGGGACCAAAAAAGTAACAGGCTCACCTCAAGTTCACGGTGGACGCCGAGAACAGTATTGGAATCGTCTCAGTATGAGAAGCCGCACCGTCCGTACCGCACATGCGCCGGTATGGGTGATAAGGAGGTTTCCAGTACTCCGCAGATCCCTCCAAGGCGGGTATCCGGAGCATAAGCCATGTTGCAAGGAGGAGTGTTCGGAGAAGAGCCGAGTGCGAGTGCAATGGTGTTCAACGCGGACGCGCGGAAGTGACTCCGAGACCACGCTCTGGCTGCGCTTGAGTACTAGGCGCGGGCATGGGCTCGCTGGTTCGATTCTCGGAATGGCCACCACTTAGAATTTGTCTGGCCCAACTATCTTGCACACGATCCTGCGAGCAGATATGTACCCGGGTCAATCGGTGATGATATTGAGGTATTTTAAAGACGAACAGGTTTCCGACCGAACCAACTCAGGCATGTCACGAGGACCGGGGCCCGACGCGCCAACGGAAAATCCCCCTCGAACATCGTCGCGTACTGCCCCAACCTGACCGCGCTCAAGCTGTTTGCATGCCACCTCGATACAGACTACGACCTTGCGAATCTCTCGGTGCTCGCCGAAGACGTCTGGCCGTCCATCTGCGAGCGTGACTGCTCGATCCCGTGGCCAAGTTTGTACACGCGGCGCCGCCTTGGACGCGCGAGCAAAGTGACTGTCCAAGATGCGTACTGGACGACCACAAACAGTACCTCGCCATACTCAGCAATACCAGACCGTCCTGCCTGCACTTTATCCGCCTCAGTTGCGACAAGGTGAGTTCGAGACGAAGGAAGATCTCGTCAAGCACGCATGGAAGGAGCTGTCGAACACGCTCCCGCAGCTGCGGTAGTTAGAATTGTGGTTATCCATGACTGAGTTGAACAAGGACTTTGTGGTGAGCACTCGCGGCGGCGTGTCAATTCCTGTCGATGATTTCTTCACACTTGAATACTGTCGCAGAACATCCTCCTAGACGCGCTCCGCGCTCCGATCCCCCTCATGCACTTTTCATTTCGCGTGAACACTTCCAAAACGTATGACGTGACCACCATGCGTACGGACGTGACCAGAAGGCGCGCCGCTGAGGTACGACGGGTCGACATCCTCCGCGCGCTCCCAGACGCTCTCGCACGCGCCCTGCCACACGTGCGGGTGTTCTCGCTTGGTCCGTGCAAGGCGGCTCTGAACGAGTGCGATCGATCGGTCGGGAGGTCGGAGAAACTCTGGGAGTCCTTGAACCCGGATTTCTGCGTGGTGATCAAGGCGCAGGACGCGGTCGACGAGGAGTGGGGCGAGATGAGTTCCCAGGTTGACGAGCATCTGCGCGAACTGAGGCGACGAGCGGACGAGACTGCGGGGCTTCGGGATGAGCAGTGGTGGTGGGTCGAGGGAGAGGGAAAAGAGAGACGGGCGATCGGGATCTGGAAAGAGAAAGGAGAGTGGGCGCGCGACGTGATTGAGGACATGGACTTCGACACGAAGACGGGCCTGAACGGTGAGTGTGTCCGAGACTATGCAGTTTGAAGAAACTAATGTCGACTTCATCAGCAAAAAAGCAAAAACCTCCGATACATTGCAAAGGCTTCGAATATCCGTGGGACATTCGAAGCCTTTCCAATGTTGCGCAAATCTATGTAAGTCGTTCCAATGTTACACATATCCATGCAAGTCATTCCAATGAAAGCCCAATGGATTGTGAGGGCCGTTTGTGTGTCAAGCTGATTACAGGAAGGGAAAGTGTGGAACGGCGGCAAGAAAGTGGAGACAGTCAAGACTCCACAGAGTTGAATTTGTGCGACGCGTGTCGCGTCCTGGGAATTCGCAGGCGTGGGAACCACGTGATCGGGTGGCGACGAAACTTGCATCCAAGTCCCCGTCCTGCGTCTGCGTCTTCCTCTCTTCTTTCCCACTTGCCCTCACCATTCTCTCGTCTGCTGGCTGTCTGGTGCCTCAAGCAGCTACAGCCTATCCCTCAATCACCTTGTCCCACGCGATCCCCTCGGCCTCTGCTTTCGTAATCCTGGCACACTGTCGCTGCGCTTCGTTTCAATGGCGCATACATCAACCTGTATCACTCCTACGCAACATCTAGCGAAATCGGGCGCTTGCAGGTGATTGCCCAGGTCTCTACTAGCTCGTTTTGAAGACCATCAGAGCCGTAGGGGATAGGGAGGGATCAGAGACTGCGTCACGGTGAGCATATGACATCTATTATGCGCACCCAGCTGTTCATCACCGCATACAACTTTCCTTTTTTCTTGCGCCAGTGCTGGACCATCCTTCAAGTGGGGTGCACATTCTGCAACAAGTGTGCGAGGGTTGCGCTCCTCACGGACTCCGTTGTGACCTCGCGCGTGCAGGTGCGCGCCACCGCGTCGGTGAGGACGTGCATTCGATATCGCGGGAGGACTACATGTACTAGGTAAGTGCAGTGAACGAGGATGGTGATGAAGATGCACAAGAGCAAGGGAACGATGCCGTTGTCGTCTTCTTCGAGAACAGGTGAGTGCGCCGATATCCCAGCTGTGTGCGGTGCCTTCGTACTTATTCACAATGCCGCGCAGCCACATCCACTCCTGCGCGTCTTCAGGCCGACTTGCGCGCGCAACATCCCGCATGGTGGAGTTGTGATCGACAAGTCGGATTACCTACATATCTTCTGAAGGACGACCGTGTGTGACTGCCTTGTGCTTGTAGTACAATGTACACGCATTCGTGTCCGTATATAGCAGCTACTCTAGTCAATAAAAGGGTTTCTTGTCGTACTTGATGTGTGAACAAATGCTCAGACGGCCGGCGGTGCCAGGCAAGCTAGGATCGCCGAACATTGGAATGGCTTCCAATGACTCCGACCAGACATTGTAATGGCTTGCAACTCACTAGAACAGCTATCTATTGAACGTACAAACATTTTATATCATTCCGGACGTTTTATTCACTTCCAAGTGATTCCAATTAACACGCTTTTTTGCTGATGTTCAACGTGCAGGGATGTTCCGTGATAGTTGGTGCTAAGAACCGTACTAAGGGTTATCAGTGCTTGCGGCTCTGGTCTGTACATGAAGTGATTACCAATGGAGATCAAATCACGTGCCGTTAGGTTCGAAAACGCCACGTCTTCCACATAGTGCTCCTTCTCTTGACATCCCTCCTTGACCTCGTACCACCACCATCCCCACAGCGTCTATCCCCCCCACCTCCCCCCGGACGTTCCACCTACCCCACAGTACGATGTCGCCCTACCCGAAGAAAGGTAAGGGCAAAAAGAAAGCCACCACCCCGGTCGACGAATACACGACCTGGGAGGACAAAGACGGCGAGATCTGTGGCGCCGCCTCCACCGACATCGCTGCCGCGCTCGTCGAAGAGCGGCAGCTCCCCAACCTCCTCCGCTACCTGGCTCGCACCATCCTCCGGGTTGGTGGGTTCACAGGGCCCTACGTCGACGCGGCCGCGGCCGACTACGACTCCCGCCTCGCCTCGTTCGGGTCCAAGCACTCGAACGGGGCCTTCAACGCCATCACCACGACGTACGGCACGCTGTGCGAAGTGGTCGGTGAGGCCATTCGCGAGGCCAACATCCACCACCGCGAGCTCACCCCTGTGGCGACCGCCCCCACCCCCACACCTACCGCCGACGTGGCTGACGCCATGGACACCACCCCGGCCGACGTACCCTCCCCCACACCCCTCCCCGCCCCCCTCCTCCAGGCGGCGCCTCTGGCCTCCCCCCCGCCTGCCCCCGTCCTCGAGGCTGCCCCCGTGGTCGCCCCCGTGCCCCCCGCTCCCACGCCTGCTGCGCCCACCGGCGTCGCGGCCCTCCCAGCCAGGCCCTTTGGGGCCCCGACCCAGCCTGCCCCCGGCCCTGCGGCCCCGGCCAGCGTCCCCGAGCCCACATGGGCGACGGTTGCACGCGCCGGCGCCAAGAGGAAGGGGAAGGGGGTGACCGGCGCGGCCCGCAAGGGTTTCGTCGCGCGCCCCGCGGCAGCCGCCGCTCCCACGGCCCCTGCCCCGCCCCCCACCACCGCCCCCGTCGCCCCGGCCAAGGCCGCGCCGACGGCGCTTCAAAACACGCTGGCCGCGCTGCGCCGCTGCCGCCCAGCTGGGTCCGCCCGGCTGGTATACCTCCACGCCGCCCATGACCTCACCCACGCCCCCGTGTGGTCGAGCGACGCCAAGGCCCTCGAGGTCCTCCGCCGGGCCGTCGACTTCAAAATCGACCGCCTCTCCTCCAACCCTGCGCGCACGCGGTGGACGGTCGTCCCCGCGATCTGCCCCCGTGACGCCCCCATGACTTGGGACGCCCAGGCCTCTGCCCTCGCGGACGCCCTCGGCCGCCTCCTCGGCAACCCCCTGCGCGCCTCCCGGTACGTCAACCGGGTGTCGGTCCTTTACCACCACGTCGAGTGCTCCGCGCTCGACGACGCCGGCGCCCCCGTCGCCCTCTCCCCCTTCAACGTCCTCCGGGACGCCGTTCACCGCTCCGGTGACACCGCGTGGTCCGACGGCCGCGCGACGCTCCCCGACACCAACACCTCCGTCCGCTGGGGCCCCGGCCCGGGCCCACGCCGCGGACGCCACCACCGCCACCCTCTTCGTCGACGTAGTCGACGACGAGGACTTCAAGACGCTGCGGGCCCTCAACGGGTCGCGGCTGCTCTTCGACATCGGCCCGCGCGCGTGCACCCTCGCGCGCGTGCCCGACCGCCCCCTCCAGTGCTCGAACTGCCAACAGTTCGGTCACACAGCCGTCCGATGCCGTGCGCCTCCAGCGTGCGGTTTCTGCGCCGGCTCGCACCACACCCACCACCACGAGGTGCTCGCCAAGCGCCCTGGTCCCACCGTCCACGTGGCGAAGTGCGTGGTTTGCGCAGGCGCGCATCCCGCCTACTCCCCCACCTGCCCCCGCCGTCGGCCGAAGAACGGCGCGCGGGCGGCTCAGACCTCGCCCCCCAAGCCGCCCGCCTCAAAAGCGTGAGCGGCTTGCGAAGTACGGGGTGCCTTCCGACCTCCCGACGGGTGCAACAGCGGACGGGCCGTGACCGATCGAGGGGGGCCGCCGGGATCTATCGGATAACCAAGGAGAGGCACTCAGGTACGGGGGCCAAGAAGCGCACGAACTTTTTCTCGGTGGACTTTGGTCTCGGAACACGCGCGCTCGCATCAGGGGGTGCCGGGCGCCTTCGGCCCGAGGGTTGAAATCCGCAACTGCCTACGGGCGCGGTCCCGTGCCCACGCGGGCGTCAAACGAACGCGGGATAGTACCTTAGTCGTGTAGTAACTAGTTACATGTGCACCCTTTGTGACACACGGGGATAGGTTGAGAATAATAATAATAATAATAATAAAGCTCCTTCTCTTGATCTGCCTCAGCTGTTGGACAATCCCTCCCTGATAGACTCGATGCCAGGTGTTGTATGTGTATATTGCCTTCCTGTCAAGTATAACTGTTGATGAGACCATCCTTGAAGTGGCACGACGGACCGCTTGAAGAGCATGTTGTCCCTCAATGACGACGTCCTCCTCCTCATCGTGTCCTTCCTCTCCCGCAAAGACGCGCTCGCGGTGGCTTGCACTTCCAAATATGCATACTGCTTAGCGACACCCAGCAGTCTTTACGACGCAAGTTATCCTTACAGTATGAGAGACCCCGAGATGTCTCGATGGGAGTACTTACTCGGATACGACAAGTTCCTGGGTGTCCCACGGAGGCGCTACGTTCGAGGGATCGCCGTCTCGATCTGGCCTGAGGACGAAAACGAGATGGCCTCACTCTTAGAAGCCCTACCCTCGTTTTCAAACCTCCAGTCACTCTATTGCGATTACACCAGCGAGCTCATAGAGCGGCACCCACGCTTCGTCGAACGTATCCCCAACTTGGTACAGCTTACAGAGATTGGACTTTACGACTTGCGTCCAACGATCCTACCGAACCTGGCTTCCATTCTTGCCTCTCCCCACCTCACTACTGTCACTATCTTCTTTCGGAAACGCCCTAAAGCTGACGCACACTGGAATGCCTCACAAGCTTTCGTACTCCTATCGACACTCGCCGCTCTCCCCTCACTATGCACCCTCTCGTTGATGTCTGTTGCGATACCTTTTCCGCCACGCTCTACCACCATGCACACTATCCCTATGATCTCCTCTCTTCGCCACTTAACCGTCATAGCCATTGTCGACACGTCCGCAAATATCGCCGGGTACTGCCCCAACCTGACCACGCTCGAGATGGGTTTCTGGATTGATGGCATGGCACTGGGGTACGACCAAGTTGCGCATCTCTCAGTGCTCACCAAAGACGTCTGGCCGTCCATCCGCGAGCTTGACTACTCAATGCCGCGGCCAACTTCGTTCACGAACCACCTTGGACGAGCGAGCAAAGTGACGATCCACTATAAGCGCCTGGACGACTACGGAGACTACCTGCCCATCCTCAGCAAGACCCGACCGTCCTGCCTGCACTTGATAAGCCTCATATGCGACGACCTGCACTCGTGGCCGTCCATGGACCAGTTCGAGACGGAGCAAGATCTCATCAAGTACGCGTGGAAGGAGCTGGCGAACACGCTGCCGCAGCTGCGGTCATTGCTGTTGTCGTTAGAATACACTGCATTGACCGAGGACTTTGTGGTGAGCGCTCGCAGCGGCGTGTCAATTTCTGTCGATGATCCGCTCACACTTTAATACTGTCGCAGACCATACTTCTAGACGCGCTCCGCCCTCTCCCCCTCACGCACTTCTCGCTGTGGGCTCCCGCTCGCTACACGGCACTAACGAGCGAACACACCACCACGGCGTCCACCAACAAAAGGCGCACCACCGAGGTACACCGGGTCGATACCCTCCGCGCGCTCCCAGACGCACTCACACGCGCATTGCCACACGTGCGGGTGTTCTCCCTCGGTCCGTACAAGGCGGCTCTGGACGAGTGCGATCGACGGGCCGGGAGGTCGGAACGGTTCTGGGAGTTCTTGAACCCGGATTTCTGGTCAGCGATGCAGGCACAGGACGCGGTCGACGAGGAGTGGGGAGAGATGAGTTCCCAGGTTGACGAGCATCTGCGTGAACTGAGGCGACGAGCGGTCGAGACTGCGGGGCTCCGGGACGAGCGGTGGTGGTGGGTGGAGAGAGAGGGCGAAGAGAGACGGGCGATCGAGATTTGGAAGGAGAAGGGCGAGTGGGCGCGCTATGTGATCGAGAGCGTGGACTTTCAGCCGGGCGATCTCACCGGTGAGTGTCTCTCCTCCACAGTACTTGTATTGAGGATGATCTCACATCTACTTCCAGGAATGTTTCATAACAGCTGGTGCTACGACCCATAGGGAGTGACGTCATCGTGCGGTAGGTCGCAACTCGTTCTCGCGTGCACTCCGCGGAAACGTTCAACTGTTACAGTATGCGCCTCGCGCGCGTGTCTGTCGTAACTTCAATCCATTTTTCTCAGAGCTACAGGTGTCGGTACCACATCGTCTCCTCAGCTCAGTTCGCCGGGTGGACAAACCCCAACGTCCCCAGCTCCGGCATCTGGCTGTTCAGCATCCGCGCCGTCGCCGCCGCGCACGTCTCGAACTCCATGTCTTCCGGACCAAGCCGCACCCACCGGGGCTCCCGCCTCCCACGGACGCCCTCCACCGTGAGCTCGACGGTCTTGAGCGCCGGGATCGTGTCCTTGAGCCGCTGCGCGAGCGCGCTGAGGTCGAGCGCGGCGAAGAACCGCTCCGCGGCGGACGGCTCGAACCGGTGGGGACCGCTCCGCGTGAACTGGAGGAACGCGCCGTGGAGCGCGATGCTGAGCACCCGGACGCGCGGCAGCCCCCGGATCGCTGCGATCCAGCTCTCCTACACAAGCGCGACGGCCGACGTCGTCAGCACGAGGTGACAAGGAGCAGCCCGGGCACTCACCACCATCGCGGGGGCGTCGATCGTGTCCGCCGGCAGGGTGCACCCCATCCTGAACATGACCTCGAAGCACTCGACGCGCGCCGCGCACGGTTTCCGCAGCATCTCCGTGAGCGCCGGCGTGAAGAGGTCCCCCTCGAACTGCGCGAGGGCGAGCTGCGCGGGGCGCGTGCGTTTGAGGAGCCGGCGGAGCGCGCGCGTCTGCATGTACGGGCCCGTGACGTGCACCTCCTGGACCTGGCAAGTCGGGGCGAGGATGTACATGTCGAGGAGGCCGCCGCTGATGGTCTCTAGGGACGGCCAGGAGCGGTGCGCGAGCTGTTCGGCGATGTTGTGCTCGTGCTGCGCTTCGAGCGCGGTCGGATCGTCCCCGCGGTGTGTCGACGGCTGCACCATGACGAGGTTCTGGAGGTCCGGGAAGGCGCGGACGAGAGTGCGGGTGTGCATCCCGGTGATCAGTACCCCTTGGATTTGGAGGTCGGTGAGGCGGGGATAGACCTCGTCGAAGGTGTTGTCGCCGTTTGACCGCTGGAAGCTCACATTGGTGGCGCTCAAGTCCACCAACGACGATTGGAAGTTCTTGAGAACGGAGATAGGGATCTTTGCCTCATCGGAAGGGCCCTCCGTGAGGCGGATGTTCGGGGTCGGATCCCACCGCAGGTCGGCGACTTTGACCTTGGACTTGAAGTCGCGCAAGAACCCAGAGCCTACGGTGTTGATCCCGGCGAAGCGGATGTGAGTGATGGTGGTGAGTGACGCGAAGGCGGCGTACAGAGCACGGAAAGATGAGATGATGCTGTCCAGGTGTGTGATATCGAGAAGCGTCATAGTAATCTTGTCCGTGTGTGCCGTCAACAGAGCGCCCAAGCGTTTTGCGACGGAAATCGGCAGACTCTGCATCTCCAGACAAAGACCTTTGAGGAACTGGAGTCGAGCGCCGTTGTATGCGGACAAGAAGGTGATCAGAGAGTCGAGCTGGCGACTAGTTGCGATGGTGATGCACGAGTCATCGAGAAGATACTTGGCCCCCTCGATGTTGAAGAACTTGTTGACTTGCATGAGGCGACAGACGGTGGAGTCGTCAGCGAAAGCCATGATGTGGAAGGAGACGTCGAGGCAAAGTGTGCGGGCCATCTGCGAAACGAGTGGACGGTGTTGACGACGCTGTGAACAAAGGCTGACACCGTATATCGAGCACGATGGCCGAGATATCCGAGGTGTTTGCGGAAAGGATGTTGATGAGGGCGATGTGTCGAAGAGGGATGAGGTGAAACGCAGAAGAGTGGGACGCCCGACGAGGGGTCGCGCCTCTGGCTCCAAAGCAGCCGTGAGAAGGGGGAGTGAAGGGCAGACAAAGGTGGCAGGTACCGGCAGAGCTCCACGGACTCCGAGCGGTCACCCCGGCGCCATGGCAAGCTGCGCGGTGCATGTATCGACTGAGAGGTCAAGCCATCAACGGGTTCACAGAGATCTAGCACGAGGTCGTCGCTGGTGGGCATCGCTGCAGGTCCTGACTCGTCATGATGCCGTGAGACAGCATCGTGTGATCTTCAAATTCCCTGCGCGCTCGTCGGCGTCGCTCACTCAACTCCAACTCAACTCCTCCTCTGACTTCATCACTGGCACAAGCCTGTCTCGCTGCGACTGCAACACTTTCTTGTTCTCTGTTCCGCGGCCAACGATGGCGATCGGAACGGCAAGACTTCGTCTCACTCCAATGTTGACATCAAGTGAGAGCGGCCGCAGCTAAGTCGCAGCATCTCCCAGCACACAAGTTCGAGACAAGACCTCGCGCTTGAGCTCTAGTGCGCATCTCCGGACCTTGAAAAAGCGCATGCGGACTGCGCGCCGCTGTATATGTAGTCCAGTCAATTTGCGCTGTGCACGACGCGCAGCCTGGCTAGACGGTTTCGTTGCGGTCGGTGCGGCCGGAAGGCGTCCGTCTGGTGTTAAACGGGGTATCTGTGAGTAGCTGTCGCCCTTCATCGTGCGCATCCCCATAGCGTTCACCTACGCCTCTGCGTTCGCTGCCTGTGATCGTTGCCCAGCACGTCGCACTCATGCTCTCCTTCCCATTCTCACCATCCCTCCTGTCGGTGGCAAGCACCTCTACCGCCGTCTCCACAACGCCTTTACGCTCAAATGCGTCCATCAAGGCTCTCCCCCGCTCTTCCGACACCCGTCAGCGCGAGCAAGGCGTCCCATCCGAGCTCCTCGCCCCCGCGTCCACTCGTCCGGCGCACCCGCCGAAGACGAAGTCGTCAGCAAGGTCGTAGCTAAAGCGCTCTCTCGCGCAAAGCTCGCAAAGCACACAAGCAGCTCCCACCGCGCCCACACACGAGCCGGCGAAGACGACGGAAAAGACGGGTCAGGTGGCGTTCAAGGACGCGCGCGCGCGGTGGCATTTCAACGATACGCGGCTCGCGCTATCAACGGCGAAGTGAGGGATCGGAGGCAGCGCAGGATTAATGCAGGGTTTGTAAGGTATGCTTCGAGCGCATTGTTTCAGACTACGCGTTGCACCGACGTCACTCCCTAAGAAGTCACCTACTCCACGCTCAGGTTGTCTCCGGAGGGTACACGACCAGCTTCATCCCGCTGACGTTGTTCCGCGCCATCCTCTCCAGACGCCAAGTGTCGTCGCCTCGCCCCACCCGTGTCCGACGCTGAGTCCGAGGCGTCGAACTCCATGGACGACTTCCAAGCCCCCTCTTCCTCCTCCGAAGACGAAGGGGACAAAGATGAAGACCACGCTCCGCGGATGCCCAAGGAGGTGCAGAACTCGCCGACGGCGGGATACCTGCGCGAGCTCGCGAGCGCTTGATGCTCGCCGCTCTCGTCGGGTGCGTCCGCAAGGAGGGCGTGGAGGGGATCCAGTGGGGTGTAGTACGTCATCTGATTCCTCGGCGTTTCTGGCAGTGTTGACGCGCTGCCGGATGGGCTGAATTCAATGACCTCCTCCTCTTTAGGCTATGCCAGTGGACTCCTTCGTTCATGTGGGCACCAGCTGTAGCGTCAACCGACTTGGGAAAAGCCGGCGCGAACAGTCGTCGTCCCCATATCCGACGTCGTGAGCAAACTCTGCAAGAGCGTCAGCTCTGATTGGTGCTGGACTCGCTCCTCACGGGCTCGCGTGGAAGGCGAAAGACGAGCGGCGGGTGGCACTCAACCTCGATTACGCGGAGGTGGAGCGCATGCTGGGCGAGGTCGGCGGTCTGAAGTGGTACAACGCCTAGATTGCCTGATGTACGTGTTACAAGGCCGGTTTACTCCCGTTCGGCTCGCAACCAGTTCTCTACCGCGACTTCCCCGATACCTCACAGTGAGCGTGTGCCATCTTTGTCTACGACGCGGAACCAGCACCAATTCAGCGGCTGTGTGGCACAGTACTCCGAATAGTCGTTGTGGACCGGTTTTTCTCAAGGACTGCAGACGTCTCAGAGTATCAAATGATTATCAATGGAGATCAAATCACGTGCCGTTAGGCTCGAAAATGCCACGTCTTCCACAGAGTGCTCCTTCTCTTGATCTGCCTCAGCTGTTGGACAATCCCTCCCTGATCGACTCGATCCCATTGAAGGCGGCTGGTGTATGTTTATATTGCCTCCCTACTAAGTATAACCGCTGACGAGACCATCGTTGAAGCACGACGGACCGCTTGAAGAGCATGCTGTTCCTCAATGACGACGTCCTCCTCCTCCTCTTTTCCTTCCTCTCCCGCAAAGACGCGCTCGCGGTGGCTTGCACTTCCAAACATGCATACTGCTTAGCGACACCCAGCACTCTCCGTGACGCAAGTTATCCTCTGTATCGGGACGTCTCCGACGAGAGGTCTCGATGGGAGTACATTCTCGGACACGACAAGTTCCTGGGTGTCCCACGAAGGCGCTATATTCGAACACTCAGTGTTAGGCCCTATCCCAAGAACGGAGACGAGATCGCCTCACTCGTCGAAGCCTTGCCCTCGTTTTCAAACCTCCGGACACTCCGGTGTGACGGCATCGAGGAGCTCATAGAGCGACACCCACGCTTGGTCGAATGTATCCCCACCCTGGTACAGCTCACAGAGGTAGAGCTCCACAGTCTTTTGCTAACGAACCTACCGAGCCTCCCTGCCATTCTCGCCGCCCCCCACCTCACTACTGTCAGTCTGGATTTTCGTCCGGATTCCTATGGAGCTCCCGAAACCCAGTGGGATGTTTCACAAGCTTTCGCACTCCTGTCGACACTCGCCTCTCTCCCCTTATTATCCACCCTCTACTTATCTATTTCTGCGCTAGGTATTCCGCCACGTTCTACCATGCGCACTTTCCCTGTGCTCCCTTCCGTTCGCCACATGATAAACGATGACTTCGTCTCGGACGCGTCCGAAAACATCGTCGCGTACTGCCCAAACTTGATCACGCTCCAGCTGCGTTCCGTC